CAGTGGATGTTCTCATTTTTGGTCTTCAACCAACGCTTAAGTTATGTCGACAGCATCGTATACGAACCGAGTCACAGTGTCACTACGCAAATATAGTAGTGTCGTTTGCTTAATTGAACATGACGCAAGTACCATGCGGCACGAAATAAGCTTCAGTCACACATCCTTGCGTTTTGGGAACAACAAAGTAGCACAGTGATGAAACGAGTGAGATGAACCTTTCCTGTTTGCCTGCAGTAGATCGTTAGCGGCAGATGAAAATTTGTTTTTGCTCTTTGGTGGATGTTAATACACGTCGGAAATAAATAATAGAAGTTCCCCTGCTCTCCTTCTTTTATTCGCATATATTTGCCGATTACGCAACTTGAAAGCGGAGGTGATGTAAGTAGAGCCTGTGAAACGTCATTTCACTCGTGTTTATAGCCAGCCAAAGGCTTGAGGCAAGCAGCGTGACATCAGCAAGGCGTGTGGACGCGCGATAAAATCTGTAACCGCAAACCCATTGGTCCCACGCGGGGTTGCCACAACCACCCAGGTTCCGGCGTTATACGGCTCCACGCGAGGTTCGGGGCAATATATTTTCGGCCTGGATGGGGTGAAAGGCGAAGCACCACGCACCTCGACGACCTTGCGCAGAAGAGGACACGCTGCCTTGTACTCCTTCCAGCAACATTACGAGGCGCCAGGATACGGTCCAGTACAGCGCCAGTGAAAGTGATCAACAATCACTGCAGTTAACAGAGTTACTTTTGCGAACCGCATTATTCTTCGGGGCTACACGCTACTGGCAGTTTGGCGCATAATTATTGATGACCCTGGTTTTTAGCACTTTCAAGAACGATTCGAGAGAGGGTGGAAATTAATAAGGTTTTTTCTCAACGAAGTTACGTGTATACAAACGATGTGCGTGATGTTATCAATTTCGTTTATTTTTCTTCTCTCTTTCTCACGAGTTTGTCACCTTAAAAAAAAAAGAATATGCAGAGTACATGAGCTGTGCAAATCAGTCAATGCGGAACGCTTTTTGGTGTTTCTTCGCTCGTTTGTGGCATGTCGACTCTGCCACATACCAACTCTGGAGGATTGGCCATACAAGAAAACTTATTGTAGCTTATGAATAATAACTATACTAATGTTAACCAAACTATTACTAAAATGTACAAAGAGAAAAATAAAGCAATTACAAAAGTAAAGTGCAAGAAATAAAAAAAAAGTGGAAAAGGGAGTAAGTGCTATTAACATGACGGAATTGGCCACGAACAGTTTTTCTTTCGTGAACATGCATGCCATGCGCATCCTAATCACGACGACGAAATAATGGCAATAGCGGTGTGAGTGTATGAGGCGAAATTCTCGAGCTTCACGTGCAAAAGCTCCGATATGACTACGATGAATCTCAATGGACCATAGCTCGGTCGCCTAAATTTAGGCATGCTAGCACTCTCGCTCCCATCGAAATGTGGTCGCCTTTGCGGAAATCGAGCCCCCTGTGTCATCGAGCTTAGCAGCACAAACATAGGCGTGCGCACGAGCCATGCCCTCCCACGCCTGCCCCACCTTCTCCTAGTCACTCAAAGGAGTGCGCTATAATCCTGCTTCATACCTTTACTCAGTCGAACTTTTCAAGTAATAAATGCGATGTATTTCTTAGCGAACTCGATGACTTTGAGCAAATCTATCTATCTATCTATCTATCTATCTATCTATCTATCTATCTATCTATCTATCTATCTATCTATCTATCTATCTATCTATCTATCTATCTATCTATCTATCTATCTATCTATCTATCTATCTATCTATCTATCTATCTATCTATCTATCTATCTATCTATCTATCTATCTATCTATCTATCTATCTATCTATCTATCTATCTATCTATCTATCTATCTATCTATCTGTCTGTCTGTCTGTCTGTCTGTCTGTCTGTCTGTCTGTCTGTCTGTCTGTCTGTCTGTCTGTCTGTCTGTCTGTCTGTCTAGCCACCTACGACATTTAGCTCTCCTTACCGTTTCGATAATGGTATCGATACCGAAATTAGTATAGCATAATATGAATGTACGATGAGCATAAGTTACTAGTCATAGAAAAAAAATCATGACATGTATGTTATGAATGTCACGATTTACACATCATGGTCTTACTGCTTCTGCGGTGGTTTCATTCTTAGGACATCGCTCAACTGGTATGGTATGACATGACTGTATGGCGAACAAAAGTGATAGACCCTAACGTGAAAATCACAATATCCAAGTCATGTAAGTCTCGACTACACGCCACGCGCATGATGTGATCGTGGCCAGTTCCCTAGCTTTACATATACCGAATTTGGTATTACGTGACGTGAACGGACGATGAAGGTAAATGACACATCCAAACATGATAATCATGATATGTGCGTCATGTAAAACATGACTACATAGCGCGCTAATGACTATTTCACTAGCTCCACATATACCAAATTTGGTATTACGTGACGTGAATGGATGACGAAGGTATATGACAAGTCGGAACATGAAAATGATGACATGCGTGTAATGTAAAACATGCTTGCGTGCTACGCCACTAGCAAGCTCGCGGCCGTTTCGCTATCTCCACATATACTAAATTTGGTATCACGTGACGTGAATAGACGACAAAGGTAACTGACACATCCAAACATGATAATCATAATAAGCTTATCATGTACAACATGACTACATGCTACGCTCACAGCGTGCTCACGGCCGTTTCGATAGCTTCATATATATGAAATTTGGTATTACGTGACGTGAATAGACGATAAACATAAATGACATATCCAACCATGATAATCATGACTGCGTGTCACGTAAAACATGACTACATGATACGCTCATAACACGCTCGCTGCCCTTTTGCTAACTCTACATATACCGAATTTGGTATCATGTGACGTGAATTGATGCCGAGCACAATTGCCAGGCACAAACAATCATGACATGCAAGTCATGTACTGCATAGTTTACGTCCGCCTCGTAACATTGTGCTGATTTTATTGTGACATTTTTAACCTTCCTCATTTATGGTTCCCATGCATATCATCGGTTGCTACTGTACGTGGGATCTACCTTTTTTTTTTAGTGCTCAAGGCTACCCGTATGCACATGCGTTTTGACAATAACGGTGACAGAGAATGGCTGATGTTTCATGCAATTGACTGTTTACTTCCTATTTTTAATCCGGAAAGCCGGGAACAACTGGCCGCCGCTGTTAGAAGGGTTGCGAAGTGAGCTTGTTTCTTTAGGGGGTGTGAGGGGCTGCGCTTGAACTCGCCCCCCCCCCCTTTTTTTTTTTACTGGAGCGCAGCACCATATCCACTATAAGGTAACACGAAGGTGGGTTCCCGAGGGTCGGTGACTGCAAAAGTAAGTTCTGCAGACGGGCACCGCCGACACCTATAGCAAGCGTGGAAAGCAGAAAAAACAATCTTCGTTCTAATAAACTACGGTGGCAATGTGCGAGTACTTCACGTCACGCACCACTCGGAAACAAACGTACCGACGCTGTCGCTAATTGGAGAAGTCATACTCTCTGGCTGATTATGAATTCGCAATCAGTGCAATCTGGACTTTGGATGAATCCGCAATCAATGCCATCCGGACGTTAGATGGCTGTTTTTAGAATTCTTGTTTGTTGGTTTTGTTTCACGGTGTGGATGTTCAGACGCGTATAATAGATAGATGTCACGCACTTCGTTACGTAACGAAGTGCGTGACATGTGCTAATGGCTAACGATGTGCTGGTGTTTTTTTTTTTGCTTTTAAAGTTCTGGAGATTACTTGTCCATCTTTCTTGTTTTAGTGCAAATGCACCGTGTGCAGACAACGCCCCGTGCACGGTTTGAGTAATTTGCGCTCTGGTTTTCTTCGAACAGAATTACCTATCGATGACGTTTATCAGCGTACAACCTACAGATATTATGCGGTTCCGTTTTTAAAGTGTCTTTGCAGCTATACGGTCTGATTGCTCTTCTTTAATTTTTGTACAATACTTCAGGCACATGCGTAGGGAGGTAGCGATACAAAGCAAGCTCTCCCGACAGGTAGCCGATGAAGTTGACCAACTATGTCTACGCACACACACGCACGTACATTTCATAGCATATCGACATACACATCTAATGTACCTAAAATGGTTCATTGACCTAATTATAGACACTTAGGCTCATAATTAGGTACAAAAACTGTTTATTATCAATAAGCGCTTTTTGATCACTAGTTCTACGTATTAAATTATTAGCCGTACCCACCTAAAATGCATCTTTATATATATTGGGGACCATAACAACGGGAACTAGCAGTACTCCTCTGTGAGCGAATGCTTTACGACGGTGTCGTAAATTTCACAACGTGCGCAGTTTGTGGGTCCATCTTTGCCGCTAACTAAATGAATTTGCTAAAAAGCTGGCTAATCGTGCGGCAATCAGACGCTGTACAGCCTACGCAGCGGAATGAGGTCGCGAAGGCTTTTCATCCACGTATACGTACCCACTTTATATGCGATAAAATTTATCCCACGAAGTCATTTCATTCGCGATCAAATCTTCATGGTAAGGAGAATGAGGCGAGAAAGTAGAGCTTAGCTTAGACAGGGGAAAAAAGGAAAGAAAGGGAACCAAAAATGAAAGCGTGATAGAGAACAAAAAAAAAACGAAAGCATGATATAGACAGAAAGAGGAAGAAAGAAAAGTAGGCGGACGATGGAAGAAACGGAAGGAGGAGAAAAAAGGTAGAAGGAGAGAGAAATAAAGTAAAATATACGTACATGTGGAGACAAAAGAAAGAGAAACACAGGGAGGAGAGAGAGGAAGGGGAATAAAACAATAAAGAGGAACAAAAAACTCGGCACCACTCTGTACTTCCTGCAGGCTAGTGCGAAACTTTCTTAATGGTTTTTTTTTTATCCTAAGCCGCATTTTGGGATGTTTGTGTCGGTCGAGACGCAGGCTTGTGACAGCTGGCTCGTGCTGCCGGTGCAGGTTTGCTGCTGCTGTTGCTGAACGAGACGCTGGCCTCGGACGATCGGTTCTCGGCTTGCCGGGTTCTCTTGGCGGGCGCCAACGGCACCGCGTCGCGTCCATGGGTCACCTACCTGGCGTCGCTGAGCCGAGGGGAGGCCGGTCGGCTCGCGGAGCACCGCAACTTTCAACTGCCCGCTCACGTGCCGTGGCTTCCATCTGAGGACGAGGACGAGCCGGTGGCGGCAGAAACCACGGGCCGACCGCGCGTCGACGCCGCAACTTACCGCGGCCGCTGGTCCAACACCTACTACTCGTGCCAGTTGCGCCGTTGGCTCGTATCCTATACTGTGTTGGTGTTCACTGGAAACACGCCGCCGGCATCCTCGTCCCCATCGCCCTCGAGGTGTGCCAACCATCGATTGATTGATTGATTGATTGATTGATTGAATAAGTGAGTGCGTGAGTGATGGGTGGAACACGTTGTGTAACCTGATTGCTATACGGTAGCAGCGAAATCAGATGTAGTAATAGAGCGTTCGAAGCTCTATAACAGCTGCCATAGCGAGTGAATCGTGTCGCGTTATACATATGCAGTGTGATTTTTTTAATGTGTCCGATAGGACCACAAAAAGGAGGAAGATGGAATATTCGCTTGCGTCTTTTATAAGTACTCATTCTGTAGTGGCCGACATCTTAAGATGGCTAGCGACACCAATTATGTGAGCAACTGAAGAAATTATATTAATTTGTTTTTTTTTTAATTTCTGGAGAAATACAGGGGAATCCAACGGGACGGGAGGACCTAAATCTTTCCTGCGAAAAGCTAGTCATCACTTTGAAATTATGAAAACGTGACTTCTGGTAATTAATGCGGGCTAATAAAACTCTACCAATGGCACCGGTGAAATTTAGTGTCGAATTCAGCTGAAAATAAAGGTAAAACGAGCAATACTTTTTTAGCAGCGCTCCTGTTCCAGTTGACCATTAATCCACACACAGGGAACCGAAAGCGATCGTCAGAAAGCAACCTATTGCCCGTGGCGCATACCCACTGTGGCCAAGAATTGAGTGTTTTAGGGGCGAAGAACCTTAAAGCGGCACCCATTCGTCCCTCGTCGTAGTGCGTGACATGTCTTGCGCTTTGACCTGCAAGGTGGTGCCGGTGGGGGATTTCTCCTGTGCGTTGTTGAACAATGAAAAATTCGCAGCGTGCGCGTTAACTAAAAGCCGAATTCTCCTGTCTATCATTCCCCATTAGCAGCCATTGGCATGTTCATCTGCACTATCTGACAAAAAAGGGTCGCTACGTTATACTCGCTGGGCGTAACCTCTTTGGTTTCAGAAAGGTTTAGCGAGCGTTGGGCCGCAGGGCCATAAATTGAGTGAACTAGCATATACCATGCATGAACTCGAGGTGGTTAAAGGTGGAAAGTATACACGAAGCGCAAGCCGCAAGAAAGTGTGCGTGTGCCACCTCTAGTTTAGTCCTTGGAATGTCCGCTGGATGGCGGTGCTTCTATATGTGGAATATATGATGAAAAGATGCGAGATGGTTTTACTTGAAGTGTTGACTAGATGGACGAACGGACACACAGACAGATGCATAGACGGACGCACGGATGGCTGCATGAACGGATGTACGCATGGACGGACGCCGGGACGGATGCATGGACGAACGCAGGGATGGACGAGCGGACGCGCGAAAAGACGCACGCATGGACGGGTGGATGGACGCACAGATGGTCACACAGATGGATGAATGAACGAACGGAAGCACGAACGAATGGACGGACAAATGCTTCCCCCCACTCTCAGTCATTCACCCCGTGGATATGCTCCCATTTTTTTTATAAAATAACGCACTGTCTTCTCTTCTCTGTCCTGTTATTCATGTGCTTTACTCCCAGAACATGTGCGTCTATTTGCCCGACGTGGGCGGCAATAACCATCATAGGTGAGAAAACAAGTTAATAGAAAGGAAGAGAAAGGTGCTAGAGCGGAATAAACCTGAAGTAAGGAAGGAGAGAAAGACAGAAAAAAAAATACAAACTGAGGAAGAAACAGCAGAGAGACAAATATACAAAACGAAACGGAGAGAAAAGAAGAAAGAGATTGAAGAGAGAACCTCGTCAGGAGGCAAACCACCTCCTATTGTCCTGACCGCGGGCAATGCAATTGTTTTGTCCAAAAAATGAAATAAAGAAAATAAATAAAAACGTGAGTGCAAGACAGAAAGAAATACACCAACAGAAGAAATCAAAGAAAGCTCAAGAAAGATTAGAAAAGAAAGATGCAGCGAGAAATAGAGAGAGAGACAGGAAGAACAGAAAAAAATTAAAAAAAGCGATAAAAGAAAGAAAGAAAGAGAGAGAGACAAAAATAGAAAGAAAACGCCAGCGTAAACGACAAAAAAAGTGACAGGGAACGTAAAAGATAAGAAAGAAAACGACTGGCAGGCCGCCAAGGTCCGCACTTTTCAGGTTGTGGAATCGCTATAATGCAAAGCTGCCTTAATGTTTTTCAATTAACGCTGACGAACGCTTGAATCCTCCAACTGTTTCCTAGTCTGCTGCACTTCCAATCGCACTGCATACGGGTTGTGACAACAATGTGTGACGTTCAGTAGCCGTACATGTCCAAACAACGGCGTGAGGCGTTCGACAAACACGTGGCGTGTTGGTGGTTAAGTGAACGTCGTAACAACGTCGCGCGCCTTGCTGCCATGGGAAGCGAGAGGAATAAAGGGGGAGCCAGGTATGCGGTCACGCATTTCTTCGTCCGACGCCGTTATATTGTCGACTCTCGTGTTTCGTCATCATTCTCCTTTCGCCCACAACCTTGCGTGCCATCTCCCTCCCGTTCGCGCAAACAGGCAACCAGAAAAGGCTTTCGGTGCGGCCCGTTGTGGCCGCAGACGGCGTCCTCGCTCGTCCCAGATGCCGCGAAAATGGAGGGCGGCCGTGTTGGGCACCGAGCAATAATCGGGCGCCGCCTCCTTCGCGTGCAGCTCCATTCCTTTGCCCCTTCGGGAGCCGCGCGCATCTTGGCGTGGGCTGTGGGCTCTCGCATTAACGGTGCTGCCCCTCCGTGCCACATCTAGCCCTCCCGGCGCGTCTTCCCTATTTCTTGCTGCGTGGGCGCGGTGATGGTGCCGGAATAACGAGGAAAACAAGGCAGCCGCGAGTGGATAATGCCCTTTTTTCCGGGCTGCATGTACTTTGGCCGACGCCGGGCCCTGACCATGTTTACGAGATCCATCGCAATCAGCGCATCACCGTCGTTTTGGTCACTCCGTGTACTCTAGTAGCAAGCTGGAGATGAGATGTAATTCTTTCGCGGCTGTATGCACCTTCGTATCGTACAGTCAGCTAGCGCAACAAAATGCACCGCCTCTGAGCATTCGCAAAATTCTGGAACAGGAGCAGCGATGAGACTGAATTAGGTTTAGTAAACAAGGACAAGTTGCTAACGCTTTTATTGCGATTGCAGTTGTGAGAACGAAAAATGGGTATACAGTCAGGTACGTTGGCAGAAAAAGAGAATTGTAACACTCTGTAAATCGTGATTATCCTTAGTAAATGTGTGATTATCCTTGGTAAATTAAGCTGTTTTTCTTGAACCCTCCCAACACCGCTGTTTAAAGACCTGTTAACTTTGCTCTGTCAACCTTTTATGTCTTTCACATCTAACGTTGTTAGAAGTAGGTGGGATCACGTTATGTTATATTAACCCCAGCTTGTTTTCACTCATTTGTGTCCTGCTCAGATTTGTGGACTAAATTTGAGCATAAACAATGACGAGACATAAAAAGATAAGATACCTACACCAGCGCTGCACGTCTTCTCGTGTCTAGTTCTTTTCTTTTCTTGAAGAAGCAGGTCATCGGGTGATACAAAACACGCACACATAAAAGATGCAAACTTTAGCTCAACTGTATTCTATAATGTGCCAAAGAGCCCAACAAAGTATGTTATTAAGTTACCAGCTCGGTTTTATCACACTGTTAGCCTTTAAAAAAAATACTGGCAGTTTCTACTCCTTCCTTCCCTCCTCAAAAAAAAGAGAATATTGCGGCGTCATTGAGTGTACAAAGTCGGCAGGCTTTTTTTGTACAGGCTGTTGAGAAAAGAAAAATGGCAGAGGTTGAATTTTTGTAAACGTAGTTACCCGGAAAAAGGAAAAGGTATGTTTGGCTTGGTTTTGAATGTACTACGAAAACACGCGGCTGCAGCCGTATTTTCGAGTTTACCCGTGTCAGCGCTCGCTAGGGTTCTCTATGACGTGTTATTCTGGCGCCCCTTTGCTTCGGTGTTTGGACCGGCAGTTTTGCCTTTCCTTGGGATTTCCTAGCCTGCCGCCTAGTGGTATCTGGGTGATTAGATCGAGAGAGAGAGAAAAAATAAGGAGAAAGGCGGGAAGGTTAACCAAGGCTGAGCCCTGGTAGGCTACCCGGCACTGGGGGAGGGGAGAGGGGGAAGGAAAGCCATAGAGGAGGAGGAAAAAGTCCCTGATTGGGCCGACGCTTAACAGTTTTACATAACAAACGATGAAACAGGCCGGTGTCTTCGAGAAAATACAACAGCGCTTTCGTTGCCTTTCAGAAATGGGATGGGCGGTGCCATGGTCTCAATATTTTCTCGACCGTGAAATCACTTCTGTCTAGTTGATTTAGAACACGGCGCATGTGAAGGCTCTCGTTTGTGTATGCCGGGAAGTAAGATAAGAGGTGTTCAATAGTCTCATCGATGGCACACTCGTTGCACTCCGCGCCGTCGGCCATCCCAATCTTAAATGAGTAGGCATTGGTGAAGGCTATGCCCAGACGCAGATGGCACAACACTGCACCTTCCTCCCTGGAAAGGCCAGAGGGTAGCCGAAGACGTAAAGATGGGTCCAGAGAATACAGTCGATGATGTGCGAACATTGATAACTGCCACTTCTGGAGTGTCATGCTCTGCGCTAGCTTACTTAAGTATCCAGCCGCGTCAATCCTAGATAAAGGTAAGGAAACATAGTTTGTTTGTACGTGTACATTTCTGGCTACTTCATCGGCGAGGTCGTTGCCGGTGATGTCGCAATGACTTGGTATCCAATGGAACACAATGTTGTGTTCTTGTTCGGTCACATAGTGCAGCATTTCTCTGATTTTTCACACCAGTTGTTCGTACGACCCGCGATGAAGTGCCGACAAAAGACATTGTAGAGCTGCCTTGGAGTCGCATAATACTGCCCATTGATTAACTGGTTATTGCTTTCTGTTACTTGAGCCGAAGTGCACACATAGACGACCCAACCAGCGTCCATGCCTGGTGAGACTGAGCGTCCACGATGCGGTGAAGAGGCCGTTGATGAGACCCTAAACCATTCAGGAGCCCGTATTTTCAGTTGTAGCATTGCAGTTATGCACACGCCCCACCGCGGTGATCTAGTGGTTATGGCGCTCTACCGCTAACCTGAAGGTCGCTGCTCGAATTCCGACTGTGGCGGCTGCATTTTAAAATAAGGCTAATGCGGTAGGCCTGTGTGATTAGATTGATTCATTTTATTGATATGTTAGGTTTAACGTCCCGAAAACACTGTATCAATATGAGGAATGCCGTAGTGGAGGCCTCCGGAAAGTTCTTCCACCTGGTGTTGTTTATTGTGCTCCCACATTTCAGCCCACGGGCCTACAGTGTTTTCACCGTCATCAAAAATCCAGCCACCACAGCCGGGATTCGATTCCACGACCTGCAGATCAGCAGCCGAGTACCTTAGACCACTACGATGGGGCTCTGCTCAGATTCGGGTGCATGTTAAAGAGCCCCAAATGGTCAAAATATCTAGAGCCCTCTACTACGCCTCTCTCATGATGATGCGGTGATTTTGGGGCATTAGATTTCAAATCTTCTTCTTCTTCTTCTTCTTCTTCTTCTTCTTCGTAGTAGTAGTAGTAGTAGTAGTAGTAGTAGTAGTAGTAGTAGTAGTAGTAGTAATTTTGCATGCGTGCACGGCAAACCTTTCAGTAATGACACAATTACAACCGTTTGCTAACCGAAGTGTGGCCCTTGTTCGTTTCACATTTACATTGCAACGTTCCGTATGACGGCTCGTTCTTCGATCTCTCTGAGTTTTCCTTCTCACCGTGCGAAGAGAAAGAGTGGAGAGCAAGACGGCATCTTCCATGCAGCGTGAACCGAACAGGAAGGCACACTCTAAATTGCGGAAGCAGTTCAGCTTATGCTGTCTGAAAATAAGTAATCAGAACATGAACAACACCGCTGCATTTCAAGTTTGTTTATTGTGCAACATTTTCAAGCGTCATGAACGTGCGTTTGCTCTGCTTTTTACACATGGGATTTCTTTTAAGCAGCCGCTGCGAATTCCAACTCGAATGGTGCGTAAGCTGCCCATGAAATGGTGCACGGGTGCGCGCGATAACGTAGCCACGAGCGAAACATGACAAAAACGGGATGCCAAGTGAGTGCATTTGACCCGCTGGTCAGACAGACTGGAAACACAAGTTTATCAGTGAAACCAATGCGCACTCCATCTATCGTTAACTGCTGCCTGCAAGCATATAATTTTCACTGCTTGGCGGCAGTGACCTTAGTCTAAGCGAGACGAGGCCATGCGTCGGAGCATTCGAGTTAAATGTACTGATGACTGTACATATATATACAACAGAGCTTGTACCATGTGTATTGGTATTAGACAGCTATAGCACTACTCAACATGGATGCATCCACGTAGATTCTTAGTGATACACCTCTATCCCGATGACTAACGTTTATGATTACTGAATATAGAAAACCTTGTGGTTATAGATGCTTGTGGTATAGCTGCAGTAGTTAGCAGTGAGAGTGGAATCAAAGAAACCTGTAGGACTGCCAGAAGAGAGTGACTGATTGGACGCCGCACCTAGGTTAAGGTCACGGCAAGTTAGAGTTAATCAACACTAGTGCTCGACTAGAATGAAGCTCAACGCGCGTCTTGTATTCTCTGTTGGCAGGCTGCGTTTTTTGCGGTGTGAGCATAGGTGAGAAACGCGGATTTCCGTAGAGTCCCCGAGTTTCTATCTGTCAGGGGCATGCCAGGAGTGATATAACCCATTATTTCCGATCATGTTTCAAACCGCACTTATGTCTCTGGTACCCTCTCGCAGGAGTCCTGTGGCACTATTGAGCGTGGATTTGGACACGAGTGGTATGGACATAGACCAGTGCGACAGCGGAGCTCCAGCGATGGCGCCTCGCGAAAGAGATCCAGCAGCAGCAGCAGCGGTCGGTGCACTCCGCATCACCGCTTTCCACGGCACACACCGCTGCCACAACCGAACCTCTCAGGTTGGGGATGTATCCATGCTATAGCTCAAGCAGTACGAGGATAGATAGATAGATAGATAGTTAGATAGATAGATAGATAGATAGACAGATAGATAGATAGATAGATAGATAGATCGATAGATAGATAAAAAAAGAACAGAAAGGGGTCATGTATTCACTACAATAGCATCCGTAATTTCCGCACGTAAAGTCGTGAGAACATCTCTAATAAAATTAGTAGTTGTTACGTTATAAGATTTATTGAAGTAATATGGGCGAACGCAGCCATTCCTCATGCGTTTGGATATACTTCCACTTAAAGAAGACAGTGCTTCCACACTTGAAGGGCGAAAGTTTCTTTTCTAACAGTAAACTTCTCATTTAAGTGAAATTGAAACATTTGTTCTCTTGCGATGGATGCTTAGAATGTTAATAATATTATCAGCGAAATTTCTTTCATTTGTTTCTTCAGTAAGCTCATTTAGCAGTTGTGAGCAGCCTCTAGAATTTCTCGCACTTGAGAACAATTGACACAGTACACCATAGTGCAAACCATCGGAAGGGTATTTATTTTAACCTCTTGCATCGCAAGCCCACTTGTTGAATCATACAAATGATAGCATGCCAACATAGCACACAGCGAAATCGACGACGTTCAAATCACTACACTTCGACATCTAGCGAGAAAAGCATAACCTTGGCAATGCCCCCAAGTCTATGTTATTCGCAGGCCGTATCTCGCAAACGGGTGCCTCTTAGTAGAATGGGAAAGAATCTACGGGTTCGTAGACGCGGTGCTGTGACTCGTGTGTGCGACACGCTCCCTCTCAGGTCCCAGGGAAGACTAGTTGTTCCTCTAGACTCCACGTATACTTGTCGTCAGGTGGCGCCACCGAGAGAACACTAGCAACATATAAATGGAGAAACCGGCTTGTAAGGCACGTGGGTGCCGTGAAGTGAAACACTTCATCAGGTGATGCGAGCACCCTTTGCAAGCCTCATCAGCAAAGCATGTGTAGGCAGGTATGATGTATGCGAGAAAAGCTGTTCGTTTCAATTTCGGAATAAAGAAAAGTAAAAAAAATGTACTCGCACCCTTGCACGCTCTAGACTCATGTTCTAGGTCAGGAACTTCCGTGAAAGATATATCATGCACTGTAAATCACTTTTCGCCCTTAGACGGCTTCAAGCAAGTAAAACACCCTTTTACCTAACTAAAGATCACAAAAATTAGAGTGTGAGAATGCTTTTCTTGCCCAAATGGCCTTTAAAGGGTGGTATTCTAACTAAAACAATGTTTATGAGTTACTAGTGTTATGGGTTATCGAAACACTAATGGACGATATACCACAGCGTGCCAAATGATAGCCGGGACTCGCTGATTCAAAAGTTGTGGAGTGTTAGGCGAGATCAGATTGCAAGGTATGTCTCTCTTAGGGGCCATCCACAAGTATACCACAAAGAATGCCTAATAATTTTTGATGTTCATTTATACGGAACAGGAATATCCTCACAGGCACATAATGGTGGCTTAAGATATTATGGTTACGTATACCAGATTGTAGTGATCCAGAAGAATTGGCTAAGAAAGGCGGATAAGAAAAGCCTAGAAAAGTGAAAAAGAGCCAGGAAGAATGTAAATAAACGGGCTAAAAGCGAACTGCTTTCGTTGGGACTTTATATTTGGCGCAGCCAAGAGTATGCGGAAGATGTGGGTTTCATCAATTACACAGTGGGATGGCTAGCCACTGATTGCAGGCTACGATTTAGGTGACGAAAACTTTGGTGCAGTGCCAGAAGAAAAGTCGAAGCCTGATAAAATTGAATCAATCACCACTAATTGCCAAAGAACCATTCAACGACGTCATCGCCAGAGATACTTTCAAGGCTAATGAAGATCTTTTTAGATTTTCAAGCCTGGGAAGAGCAAAATACTAATAGAGAGCAGCTGCCGAGCCATTCTGTTCTAATCTCAGATATGTGAAGCTAGATGAACTTGCTTTCTGCGTTCACTTGGTTGCAAATGCAGCAAGTACCGGAACAACAAGCCCTTTTGAAGGTTCTAGCATCAGACAGGGATCGTCAGATGAGAGTGAACCCGGACATGTGTGACGGTGGTTCCGATGACTAATATTAACGCATACGAGTGTGCATGTGATCACGGTCATTACGCATATGACCACAAAATACGAAATGTGAGAGTATGTCTCTCTGCAAATGCTAAACAGTGATTTGCCTTGCGTTTCCTGACATAAGGAATATTCATGGGAGTTATGGAAAGACAACTTTGTGATGGCCTTCAAAAAGAACACAGTGAAGTTGTGAAGCAGACATAAAGTATGAACAAAATAGTGAGAATCTAGACTACTATTTTTTCGTAAAAACGTTTGCTGTAGGACGCTGAACCCAACTTTCTAGAATCATGCATCCTGCCACTTCTGATACTAAGGATGAAGAAATGAAGTCGAATGCAAATGGAATTCAAGGCACATCTAACGTCTGAAGAGCTTCAACAGATTCGTGGTATGAAGTATTTTATTTCTGACTCCACAAATGAAACCTGGTTAACAGATAGACCACCGAAATCGAATGAAGCAGGATCTTCTGGAAAAGGTGTGTTGCCGTACGCTAATAATTGTGTGACATATCAGCCGTCATAGCAGTTCTATGAGAGCGACGCACCACTAGCAAAATCGTCCCTTAATTGTTTGAAGCGGTACATGCAGGAGCAAGTGACCATTTATTGTAAATCTAAACGTACTCATCCTTGCGGTGGTCGTGAGTGATTCCAACGTATCTGTGCTGATCGAGACAGATGCTTCAGCGAAGCTGATTACTGAAAAGATGACACCTAAACAGGACATATGTTGAGAAAGACTAGTCAGGAAGTGTATACATATGACGGAACTTGCCGTGAGTTCATGAAATGAACCGCGGCAGAAGTTCGCTTCAGAGGCCGGGTAGTACGGGTGGAAAACCTCGAAATGTCGGTTGTCATTTTTCATTTTCTTTTTTTGCTGACTCGACATGAAACTTATGAAAACTAGCATACTTCAAAACGATGTCATAACAACTGGCAATGTGGAAACTTGTTCCCATATTGGAGTAAGGTACCCTGACATTGTAAAGTGTGCCGAGAAAGTCAAGTAGAAATACTCGGAACTTGTTTCTATTGTCGCCTTTCCCCCAGCTGCCACAGTAGTCGAAGTTCGCTTCGAACTATGTGATGGACAAGTTGTAAGAAAGAAGCAGTATGCCTTGAGCAATGAGAAAAATTATTCTTGCCTGATGATATCCACGCCTAACATACCTTGAAGACAGGAACTTCGAGGAAAACTAGACGTGGGCGTCATCAGTCCATACACGTCTTAGTTTGCGTCACCGATTACGATCGTGCCTCAAAAAAGAACGATTGTTTTGGTCATGCACAGATCACAGGCTCATCAACAGGCAGACAGGCCTGTTTTTTCCCTGCCTAGACTCGATGAGATAACTGATGAGAGCGACTGGTACGAGTGGTTTTGCAGATTAAACTCGTGTAAAGCCGGTATACCTCTAACGGAAGACACACAGAAGCTTACGTCGTTCGTTACACCATTTCATGTGTACGAGTGTAACCAGCTCCCGTTCAGGTTGAATTCCGGTGCATTTTTCCAGAAAAACAAGAACTCTGTACTGAAATATTTTATTGGCAACTTTTCTAATGCGTACGTTGATGACTTCTTGGTTTATACAAAGACGATAGAGGACCATGTGATTCACCTGTCAGCAGAGCTGCAAGCACTCAGAGAGGCACCACTAAAAATTATTGCAAAGAAAGTGAGTTATTCTGGTGGACCGTAGTATTTCTCGGCAGGCGCTATGACGGCAAGGCAAAGAGTACCAAGAAAGAAAGCATGCAGCAAATGAGGTGCCTTTCGAAACCACATAACGTTCCTTCCCGCAGTGTATTTTTAGGCCTTGCATATCACTTCAGAGCATCTATAAAGCGCTAAGAAGAAGAAGTGTCTCGCAACCCTTGTAACTCAAAAAGGCATAAGTTCTGAGTTCATGAGATTTTATGAATGTGAACATGCTTATTTGAAACTGGTTACCATCATTTCGTGTGACCCCGGGCTAACGCTTCTTATTTCACCTTGTTCTTCGAACTATACTCAGATGCTTAAGTCTACGGAACTACAGCTGTTCTTTACCGAAGAGATGACAAGGAGCCTGCATCCCGAAAACACCTAGTAATTGGTTATTTTTCGTACACGTTTACGAAAGACCAAGTTGATTACTGCACCAAAGAAAAAGAAGCACTAGCAGTTTCATGGTTTTGAGATATTTAAATTGTTCACCAACAGCCAGACCTTGACTTATCTTCTTCATCTCGCATAGCTACAATGGGACGATGGACAAGCGAGTTAACTGTGCACCCTCGAGGTAGGTCAATGCCCTGGGCAATATCACCAAGATGATAAGGCTTTGTCCAGACTGCATATACACCGGTAAACTGAAGTTGAACGCGTAAACGTTATAAGAATGTGGGAACAGGAAAATTGACATTTAAGAACAGAACGACACACGTGCCTGCGACAGAAGTACAAGCTATTCTGAGGCTGTACCATAATATTCTCGATTTTGGAGGACATGGTGAATTTCGAAGGATGTACAGAAAACTCCAGCCAAGAGTTACTTGGACGGACATGAAAGCGGATGTCGCTAACTTCATTAGGACATGCGACAAATTTCAGGTCTTCAAAGCAAAGTTTAGGCCACGAGGGAATAAAGGTGTACTCGGAGGTGCCTTTCAAAGTATTGCACCTTGAATTTGCGGACGTCCAGATGAAAGGTGAGGGTGTACAAATAAAATAAAACGCGAGCATTTTTGGTTACCGGGGATGAGTGCACACGCTATGTTACTGCTAAGGCCCGGCGTGGAAGCGCTCATTTAGTACTGTCACTCCACGAGCAGAATGTGTTCAATGATGGCAAAGTTATAGTTGCCTACAATGGAGCAGATTTTCCAAGTCGTAAGCGTCAATTAACGATGGTCAAAACAAAAAGGCATTAAATTACGTTTACCAGCACCATACTACCGTTAAGCTGATTCCGTTGCAAAAACATTCATCAGGGACTTGAATACATTTCTGTCTTTAAACCAAGACTTCAAAGGCAAGTGGAAATGTGCTCAGGAGACAGCTGTACTCCAGCACAATCGATCCTATCCTGCATTACCTAGATGCAGCCCCAACTTTGCTGCTTTCGGAAAACCAAGCTGGTTCCCGACGAGATCAAGAGCTTGTTTTGGTTGACAAGATTGTCTAAAAAATCAATGATGGAAGAATCGAAACAACAATATCGCCAAACAATGAAACTTAACTTCGATAAGCGTCATTGATCAGCCTCATTGATCAGAGATACCCAATGTGCAGCCTTAAAGCCCTTAATAGCGCAGGCCTTAAGCGTGTAAAGTCTTCAGAGTGTAAGCTGCTTTATGCGCTAGTATCCTCGAAAGACGTGAATTCACGAAATAAGTGTGCTTTGAATAGCTTATGCTCTATGAAATAAAACATAGGTTTTGAAAGGCTTGCACATGCGGAGATTTCATATGGTATTACGGCAACACGGTAACGGGAAAAGTGTCCGGACAAACAGAAAACCTCTACAGAGGTATTCGTCACCTTCAAGGTCTTCAAAACATCTTGTAACTCGTTGTTTAGTTAATTACAGAGTAAGTCTACTGCTCAATGCAAACGCTAAGTGTGTTAACAGAATTTTCACACTATGGGTCAGGTGCGTTTTTCAAATATAATCAGGTTATTTATTAATTACATTTTGACGGCAGCATTTTGTAGTTAGTTTCTCGGTAAACCAAGCAATATTTTCTGGACACGGTGGGTTAGTCATACCTTCTTTGTGACGACTCCAAGCGAGCATGTACTAGACCGAAAAGGCCCCCGAACAGAGAATGACTGTGCAAAAAAATGTCGCTTCTTATTCAGAGTTGCGTGTGCGAGGGTGCATTCAGCATTCACATATTCACATGTGCGTTTTCGCAACGGAGTTTGCGTAGTATTTCGTCTCCCTTGCGTTAACTGGCTTACATTTCAACGTTCGTGTGAGCCCATCTTGAATATGCGTCACCAATTTGATCACCACATCAGAAATGCCCAAATGTTGTTTCGAAAATGAATGAGAATAATGGAAGCAGTTTAACTACTCACAGTCACGCTGCAGAATTTCGTATTACGCAGGTCAACGCCAAACTACCGTTGCCACTTCTAAGCGCTCAAAGTTAAAACGCACTGTTTTCACCACTTCATATGAAATGTGCCCCCGCTGTCTTTGTCCAGAGTTTAAAAATGTGCCGACATACGCAATGATGACGCGACCAAATGCATGTTGCTGACCATTGCCTAGAGTGAGTCAGACTACTTTTGTGTTGGGATTTATTGTTTTATTAGACCCCTTTACCTACCTAGCTTTTAAAGGACCAAAAATAGGTAAAAAATTCCAATGAAGAAATTGTGAATGAGTTTGCAAAATGTGTGATTAGGCTGTTTCGAACTCTATAGATCTCAATTATTAGTGTTTTTCTGCTAACTGCAAATCTCATGAAATGAAAAAAAAAAAAGACAAGTGAGAAACCTACTGGCGCACCTATGCGCGCCTTATTTCTGGTGCTCCCTAACGTTCTGGTGCTTCCTAAACACCAAGTTTTGGAATTCTGTAGATTGACCAACAATTTCAGTCACGCCAATGTACATGGCATGACGCATTCGTTCAACTTTTCATGCTGTCTTGTACTGTCTCGGCAATAGCCTTCCGAATAGAATCGCTTCGCTCAGAAATCATGCCACTTTTTACAGTAAGTTGGCCGAACATTTATCTCCACACTGCGTGCAACCGCCCCCCCTTCTTCCCCCTACAGGGAAAGCGTTGGCTAAAGGAAAACTTCATGAACAGTTAGAGTAGATGGTGCCGGGAAGCGTCGTCTCGTCTACTTTCCTAATGAATAACGGCTTCAAATCATCATCGCGTGCAAACTCACAACCTCAGTTGATAATACAGCTATACTCTGGCTGTATGAATGAGAAAAGTTGGCGTCCACTTGTATTTAACACAAAGCCACAAGGAAACGCATATATACTTTCTATAAAGAAAATCTTCCTGTTTGACGAAACAATAATTTTTGTCCGGGCTTTCAGCAGAAATCAACGTCATTGTGGACCGGTCACTTGACCGTCTAACTCTACGTCTAACTTATAGTGGCTAGCGAATTGCAACGAGAGATCGAATTAATGGACAATTATAGAAGGCTTGCTTCTATGCACACTGAGAGGACGACAGACCTAAGAGTACGTGCCCCCATTTTTTAGCTATGTATTCCTAGAGTAGGTGCGCGTGTGACGTGCAAACTGAGCGTCCAACTAATCCCCCTCTTAGTTCCTTTATGCTGATGATCTTCGCGATGGCTGAAACTAGGTCGCCATGTATGCAGATCCACTCTTTGTTGCAGTGCCTGTTCGCACCAGGACACGGCTGGTCCCGGGGATCCTATGTGTGTCAGTGTCGCCGGGGTTTCTACGCGGCCACTGGAGATCCATTCTTCAACGGATCTCTCGTAGAAAGCGCCTGGAGGGAGAAAGTTCTTTTTGGAAGGTGCTTTGCTTGCGGCTGTTGCCGATTACCCTGTTTATAAGCTACTAGGCTCATTTCCTCTTCTTCTTCTTCTTCTTCTTCTTCTTCTTCTTCTTCTTCTTCTTCTTCTTCTTCTTCTTCTTCTTCTTCTTCTTCTTCTTCTTCTTCTTCTTCTTCTTCTTCTTCTTCTTCTTCTTCTTCTTCTTCTTCTTCTTCTTCTTATTATTATTATTATTATTATTATTATTATTATTAGTATTAGTAGTAGTAGTAGTAGTAGTAGTAGTAGTGGTAGTAGTAGTAGTAGTTTGCATTTCCGAATTTCGTGTAAGTTAAACAGAGACAATCAACCATTTCTTGTACCTGCTAGCTTTTTCTAACCCTCCATCATTCACAGAATACAAAGTCTCGATAATGTTATCTTTCTGCCACAGTCATTGTTTTTATCTGAGCTTTGCACTGTCTTAAGATAGTTTTTCACAATGTACAGATTCTTCCTTTTTCCTTCATTAAAAAAGCCTTCCGCATAGTTTTGTGTAATTCACATTTGTTTGCACTCCGATTCCACGGTTTTCTTATTGTATATTTACTTTTATTATTCCTGTCTTACGTTCTTTTTTATGGCTGTTTGTGTTCGCTCTTTTGATTTATTTCTGTTTCTGAAGACTGTCTGTATTGTATTGTTTATTTTTATTGGTTGTATTGTGCGCCTGAACAGGAACATCATGGTTGTTCCTAGACCCGTTAAGTGAATGGATTGATTGATTGAATGAATATTTGTTGGGTTATATCTCGTCTCTCTTTTTTTTTATTAGGCCCACGTACGACATGCTCTACGTCTGCAAACCTTGTCGCCCTGGCTGCAACGAATGCGTTGACGACTCACCTTGCTTGTCACATTACAATTGGGCTTTCAGGTTAGTGGAACGAGGTTTCATATTCAAATATGCAGTGAATATGTGACACACGGGCAAAAAGTAAGCCTACAAAGCCTTCGCCGAAATCTCTCTTTTTTTTCATCTTTGGCCTTTGGGGCAGTGTGTATGACCAAGCACCACGAAAATCGAAGAGCACTACGTGACAAACGGCTTTTTCACCCAGCTTTCTGCTCCTTAGTGTGTGCTCCTTTCTACTCCTTAGTGTATCATTTATAGTCTTAGCATGGTCCTCGGATTGATTGATATGTGCGGTTTAATGTCCCAACACCACCATGTGATTATGAGAGACACCGTAACAGAAGGCTCCGGAAATTTCGACCACCTGCGGCTTTTTAATGGGCACCCTAATCTGAGCACATGGGCCTACAGCATTTTGCCTCGCATTGCCCCTACATATTATTACATATTCTATGTAAGAGGGAGAGAGAGTGAGCTCCACTTGCATGACTGTTTGAGCATTTAAAATTCTTCTTGCATTGCAACAACTGCATATTTATGTACCCTCAAGCTCATGACCCTTCTACGGGCACATCCATATAGGCCCAAACTATGCCAGTATAGTCATGGGCTTACACTTAAAAGCAAATTTCTGGCCAACTGTTTACCTAAGCACTGTACTAGAAAAGGTGCATTGATGATATATACATATTGTTGGCAATACGGTGAACTTCATTTATTATCGTTTATCCAAAATTCCATTTAATTCTCTCATATCTAATACTCCGGACAAAGTATTACTTTCCTAAACGTAACATGGACAATTTTCGACGGCCAACATACCACTAAAGTTTCTGAGAGAAGAGCATTGCTCGACAATACTTTATTTCATTAACTACCATGTGCAGCACTCCAAAACGAGCGAGTTGTTTAAGACTGTCTGATTCATACTTTAAAGTCGCGGAGGCCATGCTCCCTTAGTGATTCCCACCAGCCAATACGACACACCTTAGTCATGATTCTTCCTCAACGTTGGTCTTGTCTGAAGGGAGCAAATAGCTTGTTGGCTTCAGCGAACCGTTCCCGCCCATAGTACGGAAAGCAGCGTATGAAGGTAATGATTGACAAAAAGGAAAATCAGGAAATCGGTTGTGACCGATGCGTTTAAGGCGCAGGTATTTCAATGTGTAGAAACTGTGCGCACGTGTACGCCTAGACACAGCTGTCGCGCTGGAGAATGGGCGTTGAGCCATGTCCTCCACCAAGCAGCCTTTTACATCGAAAGCTGTTATGAAATCAGAACACGTGTCGCCAACGGCGCCTTAGTTGTCCGACGCCTCTGCCGCCACAGCCGTAGGTGTCCGTAACCAGTATCACAAAAAATAATAAAATTAAGGAAACAATGTGATTCGAAGCCGGGTCTGCTGCGTGCCAGCCTAGTATTCTGCACTGAGCCACGCTGTTTTTTTTATTTATTTCCGGATAAACTTTACACGCGGAGGGATAAGATAAATATATTACAATACACAAAAATATAACAGTAAAATAGGTATGGCCGTCAAGCACAACTATAGCACATCACGTTCTAAAATTCCTTCATGATAAGTACAGGGCTTCTACCCATTTTAACCATGCATCTACACATTCATCTATTTTTACTACTTTGAGAAACCCTGTGATACCTTTTTTAAATACTGTCTTGCTGGTCTCCGGTCAGGATCACGGAGAAATCCAGCCATTCTAGAGCGGCATGTACTGTACAAGGCAGTCATCATAATTTAATCAAAAGGTAATCTATCAGCATTCTCAATTGCTATATACCTGATTCCATGAGGATCTAACGAAAATTCTTCTTTAATTGTCCTTTGTAATACGTCCCAAAAGTATACTCCTTCCCAAGAGTGTAAAAAAACGTGGTCAATTGTTCCCGGTTTGTTACAGATTAGACTGTCATAACCCCATGGCATATAAAAACCACGCCCGTCGAGGAGGGTTTTTAAAGAAAATGTTCCGGTGTGTAATGTTCAATGTAGATGCAAAACAACAGTGGACCAACATGGCAAACTTGACGCACTGAGCGTTCTATTCTAATGGGGTACGGGAACAATGGCATATCGAAATGGTAGTACAAGACTAATAATCAACTGAGCCGTGCCGCTGCTGGGCTCTCGTTTCTGAAGTGGCCTTAGGCAGGCTTGTTCTCGGGAAAAGAATCGCGTTATTATGAGTACATACATACAAAGAACTTTTTTACATACAAAGAGGATTATTTACATGTAGAGATCTTTATTTATATACAAAGAACTTTATTTATGAGTAATAAAGCATTTTAGAACAATAATCGATTGATATGTGGGGTTTAACGCCCCAAAACCGCCATATGATTATGAGAGACGCCGTAGTGGAGGGCTCCGGAAATTTTGACCACCTGGGGTTCTTTAACGTGCACACAAATCTGAGCACACGGGCCTACAACATTTCCGCCTCCATCGGAAATGCAGCCGCCGCAGCCGGGATTCGAACCCGCGACCTGCGGGTCAGCAGCCGAGTACCTTAGCCACTAGACCACCGTGGCGGGGCTTGGAACAATAATCGAACAACCAGGTGTCATGCAATGCACATTACGTAACTATTAGGTCGTGCAATGCCCAAACCATTAGAAAACTTCTTATTGATCCTCTATCAACTGTGGCGCATAGCTACTTCATGCATAATTCTTTATGGTCATCAGCTCCTACATAAAAAATATCTACAACATTCCTAGCAAGTGTGTAGCAGGTATCATGCTTCTCCGAAGAATGACGAAAAATAGCATAGTGAACTCTGGCTTACTACGCAAAAATTATATTACTTTATGACGTAGTTGGTACCCAGCAAATGTGTGCGTAGCAGTTACCCCAAAAGGGTTTAGAAAAGGCTATGAAAGGCCGCTATTCGAGCTTTCGCTGTGACTGTTCTGCGCGTCCCTCGCAGGCCTGGCGTTTTTTCTTCTGCACCGGAAATTCAGTCAAGATCAACAAAAACGAACAATACATTGAAGACAGCATACGGCAGAGGCATGGCGTCACGGCTTGTGCAAAGGGATAAAGAAGTCGTAGCATATCCACGGAGTGAATGATCATGAGTGGGGCGAAGCATCCGTCCGTTCATCCATCTGTCCGTCCGTCCGTCCGTCTGTCTGTGTGTCTGTGTGTCTGTCTGTCTCTCTGTCTGTCTGTCTGTCTGTCTGTTTGTCTGTCTGTCTGTCTGTCTGTTGGTCTGTCTGTCTGTCCATCTGTCCCTCCGTCTGTTCATGCGTTCGTCCTTGCATCCGTTCGTCCCTCCGTCCGTGCATGAGTCCGTCTGTCCATCTGTGCGTCCGTCAATGCTTTCATTCATCCGTCTGTCTGTCTTTTTGTCTCATACTGCTAGTTACGCCTGACGCAGGACAAGAATAGACTAAGAGAAGCTTCAACCCTAAAAGGTTCATTGCATACCACACGCGGGCAACGAGCTCCCAAGAATACCGCTAACTTTTAAATGCGAAGGCATTTTTTAGTCGGACTATGTCAGGCGTCCGTCGGGATATATCCCCACCCTTTCCCATAGCAAAAGCTGCGGGCGCGCGCGTCCCCGGCAACCGGAGCCCCCATCACGCCACGCTTAGGCATCGGCAACTGCCAGTACCAGCTGCAGACGCACGCTTATCCTCGCCCCTAGCAACCAAAGCCCTAACCTCCTTGACTTGAACATGACTTGCCATAGCCTCAATGCAGTGCGTTTGAAACGCGTTTCTAGCGTTTTTGCTGCCAGCATTTGTGTAGCGTTTGTGATCATAAGACGCTGACATTACGACCGTGGGGGTGGTATAGTTTTTAGAAGAGGAAAAAGGCACCTAGTTTCTGCAGCCCGGTAGGGAGCACGGCACAGTGCCTTTTATGACCGTCAGGTACAATGACAGGTGCAGTGCTTTGCCGCTCCTTGTCTCTCGCCGTTCGCTCTCTGTTATCCCTGCACCCCAATTTCCCGTCCACTCACTCGTATACGTATATATAAACGGAGTGAAGCACGCACCTCGCTCTCGACCGTTCATTGGCCGATGATTTGTGTAAATAAAAGGTTACTATAGAAATCGTCGTCTCGTCATTGATTTATGCCATTAAAATTACTACGACGTGCACTCGCGGCACAAAAAAATGCATCCGCATTTCCTCGCGATTCTCTTCGAGGAGGGGGGGGGGGCAATTTTTTTTATTGATTGTGGAGCTTTACAACGTGTTGGTCATGCGTGAACTGAGCTGGACGTTTTCCTGTATCACAGGCATTTCGAGGAGATGTATATATAACGTTTCCAAGGTACTTATTTGCGATTCTACACAAACAGTAAAACACGCTTGTGTTAATGGACCTTTTCCTAGTCCGAAAAGCACCCGAAGTGGAGAGCGCCGAAATCAAAAGTGGTGGCTCTTGGACTCCGAAATTGCCCTCCGCATGCCTGTAAGCACTCTCTGAGGCCTTCTTTCGCGCCTCTTTTTGGGGAAAACATTTGCATGTTTGCGGCACCAGATGTCACTTGGCCCAAACGTGTCGTCACGTTTTGGTCACCAAATATTATGGCATGTGCCTTTGCGTGCCTCCTTGAGGTCGGCGTGCATGGACAGACTACCTACCAGGAAAAGGCCCATTGTCTAAAGCAGCGCCTATTTTGGGTCTGTGTACGCATCGTTTTACATTTTAGCGAATGCTGAACGCTAAAAGAAATCTTTTCAGTGAAAGGAAAGACAGTGTACACGCAGAGGGGTTAGAAAGATGACATTTATAGGCTCGATAACTTGCGCTGCTATGCCAAAAGATGGCACGAAAAGAAGATGATTGATGATTTGATTGATATGTGGGGTTTAACGTCCCAACATCACCATATAATTCTGAGAGACGCCATAGTGGAGGGCTCCGGAAATTTCGACCACCTGGGGTTTTTTAACGTGCACCCAAATCTGAGCACACAGGCCTACAACATTTCTGCCTCCATCAGAAATGCAGCCGCCGCAGCCGGAATTTGAACC